CCCCATATCTGGTTTTTAGAAAATGTGACTCAGTAAATTTCAAATACTTAGTGACTTGACAACAACATACAGATTTCTCTTTTTAATGAAAAGTTTTGAAAATAGGAAGGATGTGCACATGATAAAATATTCAAATAGGACATCAGGGCATATAAGGAAAAGTAAGTCTCCTTCCTTTTCAGCTTCTCTCCCTAGAGCTATATCTGACCCACAGTATTTTTTTTTTTTTTAATATGTTTTTATTGATTTCAGAGAGAGGAAGGGAGAGGGAGAGAGAGAGAGAAACATCAGCGATGAGAGAGTCATTGATCGGCTGCCTCCTGCACGCCCCCTACTGGGGGTCAAGCCCAAAACCCAAGCGTGTGCTCTGATGGGGAATCGAACCTCGATCTCCTGGATCCTATGTCAATGCCCAACTGCTGAGCCACTCTGGCCGGCGACCCACAGCATGTTTAATTAAATCCTCTGTTACCCTAATCTGGGTTAGGCTCTTTTGGCTACTCTGGTACTCACATTTGTATTTTCATCATTGGTTTATATAGCATGAATACACACACAGTCATACACAAATATATGCATACCGTAATTTCCCAGTGTGTGGGCGTCACCCAGGCATTGCTCTATGGGAGGGCACACGCCAGACCGCAGGCTCTTGTGCCACGCAGCTTGGGTTTAAAGCCCAGCTCTGCCACTTGCTGTTTGACGTTGGCTAGGTTGCCGCAAGGCTCTGTGCCCATTTTTACTCATCTATAAAATTGGGAGAATAATACTTTCCCCCTATTTCTGTCATGCACACTGAATGAAACAAAGTGTTTAAAGTCTCTGGTGCACAGTAATCCTGCAGTAAACACTTCCTCTCTGTAACATTCCTTGGCTCTGGGACTCCGCCTGGGAGAGCTCCAGCCCAGCTCCGCGGTGTCTTGCCTATGAGGAAACTATGTGTGAGCCAGACCACTGTGTCAGTGATCAGCTGGTCACTCATTCCTTTCCCCTCTGAAGGAGTGAGGTTCTATGTTTTGTTGAGAATACCTTATGGCGTAAGTGGGAAATGAAGGGGAAAAAGTGATTTCCCCTCTTTTTTTTGAGCACATTAGGACCCAAAATCTGGTCTCCCAATTTGAATAATGAGCCCAGCTTGTGTCTTGTTCCTCTGCTACTTCCAAGGCATTTTGCAAAGTGTTTTTACAACAGCAGCCTGCAGCCTTCCCTGTCCATGGTCAGGGTATGTGGTTGGGAGCACATGCATATTGGGTGGGGAGGCTGGGGAACATCGTCTCCCCACTTTCATACGCTACATCCTGGGGCTTTATCTTGCTTGTGGGGGAAATGGGCTCTTGTTTGCTACTAAGCTTTAATGCAACATCCATAACTCCACCATGATAGCTCCCTTCCTTTGGATGTCAATGGGTTTCCCACTGAGAGAGCTCATCCCTCATATTTTAATATGTACAAATGACCAGGAAAGGTCATTTATGTTAGTCATTTATATTATAATATAACCTCAGTGGTTGGATTTGAACTGGCTGCCAGCTGAGACCAAAAGAGACAGGACAAATGAGAATGTATGGGGAGGAAGAAGGGAAACCAAGGTCACTTTGCTTCCTTTACCACTGTATCTAGGGCTGCCTGGTTCTGCCTCTGCTCTCAGAATTTCTGCCCACTACTGCTTTCCTACATGTTGGTGGAGCAGCCATCAGTGCATTTGAGGTGAAGGGGGAAAAGGAACTTCCATTTGGTCTTAAGCTCTCAAGAGAAGAGGTGTTTCCCACATCTCACGGGTTCAAATGTGGCATTGGGCTCTTTGACTTTATTTCTGGGTTTTGGGGGTGTATGGGTCTGTGATTTAGCAGGAGGGAGTATCCCAAGAAAAAAAAAGGGAAGTCGCTGGGTAGTAGGGAACTTGCAGTTGCTGTCAGATGTGGTTTCACTTGTCGCTAAGTCATATGGAGTTTGTAACTGAAACAGTGGGTTATTTAAGAGCTTCTTCCGGGGCTGCATCTCCCAGAGCAGATACCAGGACTGTAAGGCTCTGGGAAACGTCTCTGCTTTGGGGAAAGTGGTGGTATTACTTGGAGAGAAAATATTAGGGACATGCGACATGTCTACTTGGGAAAGGCCACCTGATCTTGGAGGGCAGCCAGGCCTGGAGACCAAAGCTCTGGGCACTTCCCAGCCGGGTCCAGTCTCAGTCCTGGCCCTCACAGCCTCAGCTCTGATGTCCTGTTGTAGCACCTGGTGACTTCTTGGTGTGGCCTCAGCTTTTCTGCGGGTGCAAGTGTGCTGAGACTGGGCCTAGCTCTCCCGAGTCCAGGGTAATGGCCCATCTGCCCTGCTGGATTCTCATTCAAAACTGTGGAGGGAGGTCATCTGTGCCGCCTTCGTTGTTTTGCTATGTGCTGTTACAGTCCCCTCGTGAGGTGGGAAATCCCAGGCATCTTGGGAGGGAAGTGGCCTCTCCTGGGCAACAATGTAGACTCCCCCTGCCGTGGGGACCGCACCCTTCCCTCTGGTCCCCAGGCTTGGAAGAGAGTTCCCAGACCCCCAGAGCTTAATTAGGCAGCTGCTCTGAAGCAGGTCTGGTGATGAGAACTTGCGCTTCGGAGCCTGGAGGAGCCCCACTGGCCCTGCGCCCCAGGGCCGGGAGGCCCCGCAGGCTGAGTTTCAGTGCTCTATCTCTTCTCTGACTGTGGGGTACACCCTCTCTGTTGGTGGCTGCTGGTTCTGCTTTACCGTTAGGAAACTTTAACTTGTCAGCAAAGAGCACCAAGTTAATTTATCCTTACAAGTCATTTGAACCATCTTTGGTTTCTCCAAAGGTCGCAGCTCTCTCGAGTTCAGTGTCACAGGCAGAAACTAAGCTTGCAAGCGCAAGGGCTGCTTCCTTCTACCCTTTTCTCTCAAAATTAAGGTACTAAGAACCCACTTGAAAGCATCATATGCAGTGGTCAGATCAGGGGATTCTGCTGGCCAGGTTGTGACGTACTTCACCTCCCTTCCCTGCCCTTTTGGCTACTTATTTACTGAA